CATATTTCTCTCTAAAAGATGGCATAACAGAAGAAAATGTGAGGGTTTCTTTGAACACTGTTTTAATGCCCTACTTTACTAATTCGCCTATCTCTTTTGAGAGGTGGCATGACGGCAAAATTAGGACATGGGAAAAGGTCTCTGTCTGTCTATCTTTGACTAAAGGCTCTCCGTCTGAAAATGTATTTTTCAGTAAAGAAATATTATTCTAAATGCCCAAAGGATAATTATTTTCCAGGAATATATTTGTCAACCACTGAAACTCTTTAGTCAATTGTTTGCTATTCTCTAGCCTCATACTTCTAATAATCATTGACTTCAAAATTCCAACCTTTGTCTTGCAACTATAGTTGGAAAGAAAATTAAGCAGAGCCAACATATGTTGGCTTTCCGTAAATTTCTCTTCCTAACTGACCATTTTTCTAATGATGAGAACATCCAGAAAAGGTAAGGACTTTTTCTCTTCCATTTCTATTGTGAACCTAATGTTCATTTAACGCTGGTTGAGCTAAAGTAAGAAACTATCTAAACCTTTCTGACAATGAGGCCAGATGACAAAATAGTCACCTATGTATTTACCCAACAATTTGGGTTTTACTGTTGTCTCTTGCAGGAAGTGTTCCTCCAATCTTGTCACATAATTGTTCGCCAAGATAGGAGAAAGGCAAGATCCCATCGTTAATCCTTGCGTTTGTTCGTTTAACTTACCATCAAGGGTAAAATATGTGGTACTCATGGATAGGCTAACAAGTCTAATAATGGAAGCTACACTCAGCCTTATTCGTTGTATTCTCTCTGGATGTTCCTCCAGAGTTTTTATCAGAGCTTGAATAGCTCCTTTGACAGGAATGTTTGTGTACATAGGCACGTCAAAACTTACTAGCCTGTCCTCTTCTGAAAGTGTCTGTTGCTAATCAATTTAACCAACTTGTACGAATTTGTAACTGAATATAGTCAAAAATTGACAGAGTTCCTTAGTTGTATACATAAAAAACGTAAGATTTTATGCTTCACGCTTCCTTTATTACAAGAAATGGCTGACGGGTTAGGAGAGGCGACTGACAGAACGACACATCGGATACATGATAAGAAGCTTTAATTTAGCACCGTTATTGCAAATAGACGTTAACACACACACATACACACATGCACACACTCAAACAAAAGTAGCAGGTTTACTATAAAAGATAATTAGCCAAACCACTCCTTATCTATCTGGGTTTTTAATTTTCTTTTGGTTTAATTGAGTTTATATAAAAGGTATGATAGAGCTGGATAGTCTTCTTGCCATAGTGTTAACGTGATACTTTTACAAGAATGAGACTCAGCTTCATGCACTTTCATACGAAAATAAGGTCCTCCTCTACTCAGTTGCTTTATGCATGAATATATGTTTTTATGCCGGCATAGTTGGCATGGCCATTTGCTTTAAACATACATTAAAACTTTCAGGTGCGTAGCAATCTAGACCATTTATGCCTTTTTCTTCCTTTATAAGATCTATTTTAGAAATGAATTTTCCAATTTTCTCTTAGCTTTTAGGTATCATCTATTTGCTTTGCTTATTCTTTCTTTTACCCAATGCTGATTGCATCACTATATTAGCTTAATGATTTACCTAAACCTTATTTTCGCTTTGCCTCTCAATTCCAAATTACTTATTCAATTCATTTACATTTATTTGCTAATATTCCTTTAGGCCACGTGCTCCTGGAGCAGTATCAGGCTCAAGTTTCTGCTGCCCTTCGTCCTGTCTTCATTCAAGCTGCTGTACCTGGCGGCGATAGCTTCGTCAATAGCTCATCCCCAACAGGTCCTATCCTCACCTCTTCATCCTCTTCACCTGTGCTTACATCATATGCCCTCCACAGCCAGCCTTCTATCGTCCAAGGCAGCAGCTTTGTGAAAAAGGAAAATGTTAGCGACAACCTAATGGCCAGCCAGCTTGCGGCTAACCCGTTTGTCTTAGCCACTGCCTGTGAAGTTGCCAGCACTTGGCTTAGCTCAGGCGTGGCTCAGCATCTCGACGAGCTGCATCGTGTACAGCATCTACTGCTTTCCTGTCTCCATCGGCTCGATCGGGCAGTTCGTCAGCACAGTCTTCTGCCCAACACACCCTCTGGATCGGCCTCTACTCCGGCTTGTGTGCGTGCATCCGGGATTGTCCAGACAGGTCAGAATTACAGTGAGGCTGCAGCTACACTTGAGCACTTGGCTGTGCTGCGTGCCTGGGCCGAGATCTATATCACCCGCATGCTCCATGCCGAGATACACTTTGGACACGGTCTGAGGACGCGCTTGACGGAGTTTGGCCAGCGACGGCACATCCAGCAGTTGCGAGTCAAGCCAGTTGGTGCTGTTGCCTCGGAGTCTTATCAATCGAATCATAGGATGCACGGGATGAAGGCTAAAGATACAGATCAGGATAGTGATATGGGGACGGATGCACAGCCTGCTGATTCGAAGAGAGAGCAGACTTGTGCAACGGAGATTGAGATGCAAAAAAATCCCTCGAATCAGGCAGAACGTCAAGAATTGGGCGAATTGGATGAAGAGGACGAAGAAGTAGAGCCTGAGGAAGGAGAGGCAGACGACGAAGAGGATGAAGAGGCAGAGGAGGCTGAGGAGCTTGGCCTGAATGAACCATGCCAACTGCAGGAAGCCATTGCCAGCAGTGTGGCCGCTGCACATGATGATGCCAGCGAGGCTGCACGCCGCTTGCCGATTCTTCTTTACAACCCGGAGACTGATTATGCATTTGGAATTGTTGAAAGGGATATTCTAGCAACAGCCACTATGATGAGGAGGCATGTCTCTATGACTAAAAGAAGACCAAGTCGTTTGGGTAAGGAAATGTGGCAGAATCCAAATGAAGCCTATGAGGAGAAAGTAAGAGAACTGAAAAGTGGCCAAGCTTATGTCGATGAAGATCTGGTGGATGAGGGTGAAGAGCTGGACGATGAAGAGAACAGTGCAGACGAGGATGGTTTATGTGACAGTGACTATTCAGATCCAGGTGAGCTTCCTTTTTTATACAAACGCTAACCTTGTTGAGTATTTCTGCCTCAATT